GGGGGGGGGGGGGGGGGGGTCACGTGACCCACCTAGGTCCGCCTTTGTTGACTGTGTAAAGAGAACATGTAGTTAAGACTATCTCAACCTGTAATTGGCTTATGTTTGTAAACTGTTTATAAATATTCAAATCATTTTTCATTAACATATTTTGCGAGGCCTACACGTTATAATCACTTATCCACTATCCACATTTATCTATTTATAGTTTAAACAGATTATAAACAATCAAAACACGCTTGTAGAAGCCATCATCTGCAAACTCTCCAATTATTTTACGAGACAGTCGAAACTATTCCTACCATGTTATAAAATTAATGCAGAACTCAAAACTCATAGATTGTCGCCTAGTGCAGCATTATCTATCCCGTCATCCGAGCACCCATGGCAACTCTCTATTAATCGTGGCTCCAAAGTTGTTGTGATAGATCTAATGAACAAATACATATCCAGTGTGTTCAAATATGCGTCGCATGTTTCAAGAACGCACGACAAATTCATGTATATATGACAATCTCAAGTTTAGGTGGGATTCTCAATTTGTACATCGAGTACTCGATAACCAGTTTTATCTATTATTATAGAATTTTTGTTGCTCCCTTTATTATCCAAGATTTTACCCAAATCAAAATATCAAAGCCCCAGTAGCCACAGAAATTGTTACATTTTCATGGAAAAACAGAAGATGAAATCCAAAAAGGGCAACCCAGTAAGCCTGAAAATCGTCAAATCTTGTCTTCAAATTCTCCAGTGAACCCTGGAAAGAAAAGACCAAAATCCAAAATATAGTTACATTACAGGCACTAATGGCCTCAATTCAGCTCCTTCAAGCTACTATCCATCCATATATAACATCATACAAGGCCACAGCATTAAAGGGTCTTGAGTCCTGCTCTACCATGGCCGAGCTGAAACAATACCACTCCCAATTCATTAAACTTGGACTCTCACTAGACAATGATGCTATGGGGCGTGTTATCAAATTCTGTGCTATCTCGAAACAGGGAGAATTAAGTTATGCCCTAAAGGTGTTCGACTGCTTGCCTAATCCAGATACGTTTGTTTATAACACAATCCTAAGAGGCTATTCACAATCAGTTTTATATGGAAATGTAATGGTTCTGTATACTCATATGTTGGAAAGTTTTGTTATGCCAAATAAATTTACTTTCCCTCCGGTTATTAGAGCTTGTTGCATTGACTTTGCTGTCAAAGAAGGAATGCAAGTGCATGCTCAAGTGATAAAACTCGGGTTCGGATCAGATTCTTTCTGTCAAAATAACTTGATTCATATGTATTTGAATTTTAATTGCCTGGAGAATGCTAAAAGGCTGTTTGATAATTTGGATAAGAAAGATGATGTTTCCTGGACTACATTGATTAGTGGATATTCTCAGCGGGGGTGTGTTGATGAAGCCTTTGGGCTATTTGAGTCAATGCCGGTTCAAAACCCTGCTGCTTGGAATGCTATGATAGCGGCTTATGTGCAAAATAACCGGTTCCATGAGGCATTTGATTTGTTCGATAGAATGAGAAAAGCAAATATGTTGATGGATAATTTTGTGGCTGCAAGTATGCTGTCTGCCTGTACGAGATTAGGAGCATTGGATAAAGGTGAGTGGATACATGAGTATGTTAAGAAATGTGGGGTTGAAGTGGACTCAAAGTTGGCAACGACGATTATTGACATGTATAGTAAATGTGGTAGTCTTGACAAGGCTTTTGAGGTGTTCAATGGATTGCCAAGCAAAGGGATTTCTTCTTGGAATTGCATGATTGGAGGATTGGCAATGCATGGTAAAGGCGAGGCCGCCATTGAGCTTTTTAAGAAAATGGAGAAAGAAAGTAACATTACTCCCGATTATATTACATTTGTGAATGTACTAAGTGCTTGTGCACATTCAGGGCTTGTAGAAGAAGGGAGATATTATTTCCGTTACATGTCTGAAGTGTATGGCATCAAGCATGGGATGGAGCATTATGGATGTCTAGTGGATTTGCTTGGTAGAGCTGGATTGCTAGAGGAAGCAAGGGAGGCAATAAACGAGATGCCTATGAGGGCAGACGTGGGTGTTTTGGGTGCTCTTCTCGGGGCTTGTAGAATCCATGGCAATATTGATTTGGGAGAGGAAATAGGGAGGCAAGTGATTGAACTCGAGCCTACCAATAGTGGGCGTTATGTGCTGTTGGCTAATCTATACGCCCGTGCTGGTAGATGGGAAGATGTAGCAAACATTAGGAAGCTGATGAATGACCGAGGAGTTAAAAAGGCACCGGGGTGTTCTGCAATCGAATTGGAAGGTGCAGTTAATGAGTTTATTGCAGGAGGAAGGGCTCATCCCGAAGCTAAAGAGACATACGCAAAAGCTGAGGAAATGTTGGATTCCATTAGAGCTGCTGGCTATATGCCGGACACTGATGGGGTGTTGTATGATACCGGTGAGGAGGAACGAGAACATCCGCTATACTATCATAGTGAGAAATTGGCCATTGCTTTTGGGTTGTTAAAGACGAAGCCGTGCAAAGTTATTCGCATAACGAAGAACTTACGAATCTGTAAAGACTGTCATCAAGCCAGTAAGCTGATCTCCAAGGTTTATGATCGAGAAATCATCATAAGAGACAGGAATCGCTTCCACCATTTCAAAGCAGGAGAGTGTTCATGCAAAGATTACTGGTAATTAAAAGTAGGTTCAGTGTACCAATTTTGTATTTACATATATTCTTCTCAATAGAATAGAAAATTGTACATGATTATATTTTGTAGTTGCAAGCACTCGAAGTAACTTCTATTTTATTGTCAAAATAAGTAGTTTTTGTTACTTACGAGAAAAAAGAAACATATCCAATATATCTGTGAACATTGGCGGCAATAGTCGATAACAGAAGTAGTAGCACACTCACCAATCGAACTGCGATAGTATTTGGGCATAGGTTGTCAATGGTTGCCACCAAAACCACCACAAAAATTCTGTCAAACTGCAGCAATGTACAAACTGGTGAATGTTGGACGGCAAAACATGCATAACCTAGCAAGAAAAAAAACTAGAGATTGATTGCAAACAAAATTAACACGTCAAGGCATTCTCCTTTAAAATTGTGCACGCTCGCATTATGAGCTTATACGTCTGTCAAAACTTCAATTCATAAGTCTGAGAAATAAAAACTAATCAAATACAAAACATGTTCCTTTCTCTCTCCAGCAACTGGGGACCAACATCTTCATGTTATATCTTCAATGAACACGCTACTATGACCTCAAAGAAAATTATATAGAGCCCACTAAACATCACCTGTTCTTTACAGCTCCACATCCTCGTCACGTTTACCACAATTAATTGGGCTTGGATGGGAGTAATGAGAAGAGACGGTAATTGAAGCAAGGGGACAATTAATCTATGAGGCTGCAGATGACTCCTGCAACGAATAAGCCCTAAAGTAGACTTTCACAGGCCTCAATATCAGATACTTGTGAATCCAGCACCCCCTTCCCAGCAGGATCGGACCTAACAATCCTCATTGCAGTGGCGAATATGTCTTTCCGGAAAAAGTCATCACCCACCTTTTTCAGAATATCCCTCATCACCTTGAAGTTGAACCCAGCAGCCAAAACTAGTTTCCCAACTATCTCACCGAAATTGGCCGGTGCTTTTGGTAAATCAATTGCAAGATCATCCATCAGCGAGGCATAGAGGAGGCATCCCATGACCAAGTCATTAGCAGTAAAAACTTTCTTAGCAAACAAGTATTCTAAAAGCTGTGCAACTGGCCCTACACAAGGTGGACTTTTCTCCAACCCAAAGGAAATGGTTTCCTTGACAATTTCAGGATGATAAGCCGGGGACTTCAGTTCCTCAATGCATTGTAATGCTTCATCCAAAATTCTGACACTAAAATATTCATCCAGAAGCAAAATTGTTTTTCTCCTTAGTTCATCAGGATTCTTTATTGCAGCAGGTTTGTTAGTTACTGGTGCGGCTGGTGTGGGTCTACTTGGGGCTGGGACTTGTGATCCACGGCCCCCAGCATATCCTCCATAATTAGCAGGACGAACAGGAGGTGCACCAATACCCTGTAAGAGAGCACTAGTTCTATTACTCATGAAACCATCACTACCCTGAGGCAGAAATCGCTGGTTTAAGGATGGTGACTGCATCAATGGTTGTTGGACACGCCCAGCAGGCTGAACTGTTGAACCATCACCCCTTGGCATTGATCGGGACCTAGGAACTTCCCAGTTGTCATTATCAAATGCAGGCATACCAGGCACCTTCCTCGTCCCTGGCATTCCAGGCATCATGCCACCAGCACCAGGGCGATTAATAGGTAAGCCACCAGGACTAATACTCCCTTGAGGCCCAGAACCAATGTTTCTGTTATTTCTCATGCTAGCAGTAGCACCTGGGCGCAACCCAAGATTCTTCTCTGCTTCTGAGTGAATCTCAGTGATAGTTTTGGCTTTCACCTGGACAATCACAAAACAATGTCAAAGTTCGCAAATGAAAACCTGGTAGAAAGCCATTAAATAGGTTAAGAGGGATCACCTCTTCCCGTCTGGGAACCCAATTATTTGAACGCAAATCAAGAACATCACGAATCATAAACCTCAGTCGTAGAGCTAGCTGAGGGTTTGTTGACACTTCCTTCAACCGACCGAAATACATATCGTTAATACGCTTTGATTTTTGGTTCTCATCAAGCTGTTTGCCAATGGTGATAAAGAACTGGCATATGGCTTCAACATTCTCCTCAGCAGGACAACTTTTTGTATCAGGTCCTATGAGTTCCTGTCTTGCAAAACCATGTTGTAAGACCATCTTAAAAATAATAAAGACAGATTAAGATTTTAAGAAGAGAAAAAGAGAGGGGGATCAACCGAGAACCTGAACAATGTGGTGGACAATCTTCTCCGGAACCATCTTTTGCTTCAAAAGCTCTCCAATTAGGCGAATGTTCCCAAGAGTACGGAGTTTGACCAACCTTTCTTTGTCTCTTCTTTCCAACTCTTGTTCAGGGGCAGTCATCTGCCTGAACTCTGCCCGCAATTTGTCAGCACCTTCAAATGCCTCCTGACAGATATTCAAAAGAACTCTCTTAAATGTGATATCTTTTCCGCCAGGCTCATCAGATGGGAAGGGTTCTAGCTTCTCATTCAGATCAGAACATAGTTGTGCATACATGGGACAAAATGTTGGCTCCAGCACAGCCTTGTCAAATATCAAAGAGATAACTCCCTGTAGAAAAAATAAAACAGAAGTACTAGCATAATTAGCAACAAGTAAATCAAGACATAAAGGAGAACAGAAAATTAGGTTGACAAACCTTCAAAATATCAGCTGTTGTGATCCCAGATTCAATAAGTTGACCCTTGAGAAGATCAAATTTCTCAGGAGTCAGCTTGTTCAGTATGCTGCAACAAGAATGTATTGATAAGCATTATATGTTTTACCTAAAAAGTACATCATTTAATACTGCCAAAAATAGAATAACAGATGCATAACAAACAGCCATCTATATTGGGGTCCTAGCTTGGACATCTGAACAGGAATAATTGTCTTCATTGTATTAGCAAAAGTTAGCGTGTCTCCATATGTAGTACTAGATGTAGATCATAAACTTTCTCTCAGTCGAAAAGTATTTGGATGCAACAAAAATGGTTGGTGGTGATACTCAATCACAATAATAGCAGTGGCCAAGCAAACAAAAGAAATATACAGGTTGACAGTTCAAGATTTGAAGTGTTAAATGAAATGCCAATTAAATGTTCAAATGTGTTTTGAGTCCAATAAATTAGGCACAAAAGAAGTTGCTCAGATATCAAGAATAGCATTTATACACATCAATGCACTGCATAGAAAATTACCCCTTCACTGCTTTCAAGACACGCTCCTTTTCAGAAAGAGTCCCCCTCCGAGCTGACCATGGCACCTCAGCCTTGATTAAAGGAGGAGTAGGTCCTCCCTGTTTCACAGACAAGAAGTTGCTCACTATTAACTGCGAGTTAAATGATAGTTGGCATAATATAACCTTTAACATAAAGAAGAAACCAATTAATGTCATAAAGCATGTAGTCAAATTAAATTAGATGGTACATTTTCACCCACTTCTTAAAGCAACTTCATCGAGAGCACAGTTAAATCACACTCAAGTCCAATAAATCTAAGTAAGAACAACGATTCTTATCATCCACACACATCATCTCCTCCAGAGAAATAATGCATAAATTTGGAAAATGTAACTGAGAAAATTTCATTACAGAAACGGTTGACAGAGTGAAGTTTCAAGCCTAAATATTACTGAGAAGTTGTCATGCTGTGTATATATTCAAGGGTAACGCAGAACAACTTGGGGGGGGGGGGGGGGGGGGGTCGG